CAGAATTTCCAAGGTTGGAAGCCTTGGAAACAGGAAGAGTTCAAAGGCAGCCTGTTTGTGCAAGAACTGAACGCAGCCAGCTTCTCGCTTATTAAAACCTTGCAGGAGGAAAAATCAGACATCTCTGGAAGAGGAAAGCAAGCTTTTGTTTCAAGGAGCTGATAGTTTTACTACCTCTTCAGCTGCCAGGATAAGGTCCTCAGCTGGTGTAAGTAGCGCAGCTCTGCTGAAGTGTGTGGAGCTGTGCCAGGTAACACCCACCTGCAGTCAGGCCCTCAGGCCCACAGTCAGGATGCCTTCCTGCTGTCAGAGTGCAGAGCTGCTCCTCACTGCAGGCAGGTCTGTAGCCTCGCCCAGCGTGCCACTGAACGTCCCCTGCTTCCTCTGCTCCACTCTGGCTCTCTTAAAAAGTGTGTTGTTTCAAAGAAATCATGAGCAGGCCATCTATCTTTTATCATTGCCTTCTCTCTTGCCTTCTCTTAGTTTTTGTTAGTTTTTATTGGTTTTTATCCTATACTAAACCATATTAATTGTGAGCTATAATGCCTTTGAAAAGACTACAGAGATTAATGAGCTAAAACTGGCAATGTGCAATAATGCATGTCAAATAAACCATTTTTCCTATAATCTCCAACACCTTAGAATCTTGAGATAAATATTTTAAAGCAGTGTAGCAGATGTAACCTCTGAATGTACCAGCAGTAGGTGTACTGTACAAGTAAATAATCCAGTACTTCAGTACAATCCCAGTAACCTGTGTATCACTATAAGTTCCAGGCAATATGAAGACAACTTGTGAAGCTTAAGAATCCTTTATCCTTCAGTTTTCCCTCTTTGTGTCCCTTTTCAATTCAGCTGAAAAGAACATATGGAGCTCTTAATAAGGTCATGCTCAACCATAGCTGCAAACTCGGGAGCATTAGTGGGCTTCATTTCAATTAGCAAAGAGTCGGTTTTCCTTTGTCCCGGCTTTCTGTTCTCTTTGAACATGTGCCGTGTTGTGGTTCACTTGTTTTAGGGAGTGTAACGACCTGAGTATCCTCCAAGCTATGCTGTAGGCTATTTGCATAGGCTGTGGAGGCTGTAAATTCTCAAGAATTTTGAAAACTAGGAAGTTCTGAACAAATATATTTGCTGAGGCTCTGATCCTGTAGTTAGTGCTGTACAGGCAAATTCTTGCCCTCAAATAGATGCAGTTGCATCCTTTTAGTTCTGACTCTGCAGATTTTTGCTCATAAAAGGAGGTGGTTAGCAAGACTGAAAGATGCAAGATCACAGCCTCAAGAATCAAATAAAATAGTTCTTAAATAAAGTGCCTGTGATTAAACATACCACAGTGAGATTTGGTCTAAGATCTAATTCTAAACTGAATTTCATCACTTTTATGCTGATTTAATCTGCAGTGTAGGGGGAAAACGGGGCCAATGAGACCAAAATAAACATTCTGCTCTGATCTGCCTCCACTATCTGACTTTGGAGGGTGCCATACAGCACAGGAAAAAGCACTGAAATACAGTTGAAAACTTTAAGGGTTTTATTGCTCTTATCAGGACAGCGCGTAAGATGGCTGTTTATATGCTGTGTGTATGTGGTCTTTGACCACAAAACTTCACATGAGAAAGGAAAGTGTTGACACTTGGTAAAGAAGTAGGTTCCTCCCAGCCAGCCACCCACCAGTGTTTGTAGCAATCGTCTCCTAATGTGCTTTTTTTCCCCTCCAGATATATGTGAATGCTCTGATCTTTTATTAGGCTCTTTAATGCATCTCTGCAAGTGACATTACTATTTCGAGATGTTTCTAAAACGCTGAAGTGGCTCTTTTGCATCAGCATTGGCTTTCTTCAAATGAGTTCTGTGGGGATTTTCAAAAGGGTACCCGTCCCATCACCAGCTGTTCGAGGACACGGATTTAGCAGGGTAGAATTGCAAAAGGAGGTGTTTGACAGTTATAGGGGTTGCCAGAAAATGCTCTTTTGGCTGTTGTGTTTCTTTGCTTTGGAGTTTAAGTTCTTGGTACTTAAAAGAAAGAAAACTCCTATGCCGTGCGCATATGGTTTGATAAATACCGAAGGGCCTGGAATCTTGCGTGGCTGACACTTTGTTTCCAGCTTTGTGGTAAACAGCTGAATAGAGAGGAGAAGGCAGCAAGTATTAAGCTGCATCCGCCAAGAACATCTGCATTTATGAAAACTTTCCCTAATCGAAAATCTAGTAGTTTCAAATGCTGAGCATTTGGAAACTAGCTTAGGGGTGGCTAAGACAGCAAGAAGGAGCAGTGGCTTTGAGCCCCCCATTCAGATCAGTTCCCCACCCACCTCCTTGTAAAGTGGGCATACAGGAGACATTAATAAAGTCTTAATTAAAAGGTTCTGTCGTCAGACTCCAGCCACATTGTCCTGAAGTTCTTCTTTCAGCCCCTTCCTTTGCCACCTCCCCTGCCTCCATCTCTCCCCCCCACTATTTCCTCCTGGTCTTTAAGATCTACTACACCAGAAATATTTTTGGAATACCACAGACTATTGTTTTTATTAGTGACTGGAAAGCTTTGTAGTAGGATGCTTTTGTGTTTCATTTGTTTTCTTTTCTCTGGCACAGCTGTTTTTGTTTTAGCAGCATTAGAGAGATGGTTAAACTATTTGTGGCCTTCTCTAACCCAGCAGATCTCTTCCACCAAATGCTTTAAGCTGAATGACTGAAACTGTAACTAACAGGTTGTCTGTGTGGGCAGTTCATGCAGAAAGTTACATATTCACTGGTTTTATGAGATCTTCTAGTTTGTTCGGCAAGTTCCACTTTCCCTATAAATTTTCCAGCCAGAACATTGACAGAGCCTTCACTTGGGAAGATACAGAACAGATGAAGCAGTAGATCTTGTTCAGACCTATGCACACTCAGAAATGATTAGTGGGGAAGAGGTTTATGTAGGCATAGTGATACCCACTTCATCCAGGAGGGGAGAGGAAGAAAAGGCACAGCAGGTGCTGCAACAGACTGTGGTTGGAGGGCAAGTCTGCCAAAGGCGGTGTGCAGCAGGTGGAAGTGCCTGAGTGGCTGCTGCAGCTACAAGGAGAGAGATGGGACATCAGGAACCAGGCACCCTGGTGGCAGCAGGAAGCTGTAAATGGAGAATGAAGAGAATGAAAAGGAAAGTAAAATGAAAAAGTAAATGGAAAGTGAAAACAAAATACACTTGTGCAAAGGCAACGTAAAAGCAAATGGAAAAAGAGAGAATGAATTGTACTGGGGACTTTGGTGCTTGTGCGTGGTGAGGTGATCTAAGCAATACTGAAAGTATGAGCTGGTGAACAGGAGAAACAAAAGATAATGTAGCTGACAGGTTGTCCCACTAACTCCCATTCCTACCACATGTTCCTAGTGCATCCTCTATTGTGAGCACGAGCGCCTGCACAGTGCCAGTGGTTGGAGAATTGATCTGCATGACAGTGCTGTGGCAGACTTCTTCCTGGCCGGCTCAGGCAGATGGAGGACCTGGCTTGATTCATTGTGTGACTGTGAGAGCCCAGGGCCGGTGCTGAGGAGGGAGCAGGAAGCAGCAGCTGTGTGGGTATGGGTTAAGGGGTACCATCCCTGACAGCACCGTACAGCATTAGAAATGCAGCGCATGGATCAGCTTGCTGATGAAATATAATGATGAAATATAGAGTGGGGAAAGGGCATTCTCTAGCCCCTGCCTACAGTAATGAAGAGAGGGCTCTTCCCTTTTGTATGCAGTGGGTAGGGAGGCAACTGTGCTTGTCAGAGTTTGCTTTCTTAGTGACACTGCAAAAGAAAGCTGAGCTGACTTATCTAGAGCACTTTCTCTGCTAGTTTTGGTCTTCTTTCTTTCTCTTTTTCCATTTAAAATAATTGTTTTCAAGTCTTCTGTCTGTTCTGCAGGGGGACATATCTGTGGATTAGTGACTGAATGAGGATAATGTAGGCACCAAAATTTGTGTCTGAAATGTATGAAAAACTACAGTCCTGCAGTGTGCTGGAGCACAGCACAGCGGTGGCTCAAATCCCCAGGAACCAGGGCAAGTCTGCACAGTGTCTGCAGCAGGATCTACGGAACATGCTACAGGACATGACTGAAGTGAATACAGTAGTTCGAAGAAATATCAAAGACTAGGCAACACAGGATTTAAGACAGCATATTTTGGATCAATTAGAATTCCTTATAAAATCAGACCTTGCCACAGAACTAAAGCTTCTCATCAGTTAACAGTTGTCCTCACTGCAGTAACAGTGCAGTGGTCACAACTGCATATAATTCCATAATTTGCTTACTCTGAATGCTTGCGTGTAATTGAGTGTTGTCCTGTGAATGAGAGGGTGTGAATTGTTTGATGCATGTGACAAAATGTATGGAAGGGATTGTCAGGTTGGGCCTCTGGGATCTCTGGAAAGAATAGGGAAGCATCTCTTGGGATTGCCACATTTTCCATCTGAGCATTCCTCATTTACTTTGCAAAAGAAGGTGAGAACTAGTTGTCTTTGAGCTTACCATAGGCTGTGTTAGATAACTGCCTAAGATATGAGCAGTCTTGCAGAATGCCTTTAGTGAGATAATATATGAATGTACTGATGTATGTACTGAAATCTGTTGTTTCTCCTTACTGTGAATTGTGTTGAGATGTACCCTATCTATAATGCCCTGTATCTGTAATGATCTGTAATCATACCTGCTTCTCTGTGTGTGTCGTTCAGCAGACTTTACTCATTGCAATACTGTAAAGCAAATTGTTCATGTCTGTATCCCCAGAAGATATAAAACAAGGCAGTTTCTGCCAGTGGGAAGGCACCTTGAAAGCACAGAAATATCAGCTGTCTGTCCTATAGTGCCATAATATTCCATATATCTGCATTTTGCTCATTCCATGCTTTTATTCTGAATGAAGCGGTGATGCGTATGTCTCAGTTGAACTTTTTGAATTGTTACCTACAGCTGTTTTCAGCCCATTACCTTTGCACTGACTGTTCTCCCAACTGACACATTTCAGGGCTCCAGAGAGTGCGCCAGCTAGGGAAAAACACAAGATACTTCAGAAGACGACTGCACGAAATGGGCTTCATCATCTATGGCAATGATGATTCTCCTGTGGTCCCATTACTCCTTTATATGCCTGGTAAGATAGGGTAAGTACTGAAAACACCTGATATGCAAAACCAACACCTTCAACTTCGAAAGTTACTTGGCATAAGCTATGAAAAATATAGTTGTTTTTGGTAGATGTTTCATAAGAGAAGCAGCATCTGTTAAATGATTTCATGGAATAACATTCCTGATAACATTTAGAAATTGGATTTTTTAACTAGCAGTCCTTGAAAGGGATAAATAGCCTTTGGTGTATGAGTTAGTTTTGATGGATTCTCTTTATCCCCATCTGATATTTGAACAATCTTTGCACAGAGAAGATGTTTTACCATTCAGTACCCATCGAGCAGCACTTATGCTGTGACAAAGACATACAAATGTAGTGGTCAGCATACAGGGAGATTTTGCAGGTCACCTAGAGTGGCTGTGTGCTCTAGGTCTAGTACACACCTCGCAAAATGCTCCCAAAGAAGCATAATGCTTGTAGGAGCAAATAAACCATCACAGAGTTTGTTTGATTCCTGTTAATGAGCTGGAAACAAGCTCCCAGTCCTTCCAAAGGCCTGACTTCTTCAGTGCTTGAGACTGCAAAGGCCCACACATTTTGATTTACACTCAAAGCCTTTGATTGACATGAATGACTCGGTTCCACTCTACAATACTTCTTCTGCTGTCATACCACTAGTATTTGACACTCACTTGGCTCTGTGAACTGTTAAACAGCAAACAATTTGGTCCTTCTGATAAGATTCTGGCTTTCATGGAATTCAGTGAGAATATTACTATCCACTTCAATTGAAGTCAAGATTTTACCCATTGTTTTATTACACTTGAATGTTTTCTCTTTGTGGTCAGTTTATTGGAGGTAATTTACTTTTGTTTTTTTTTCCTTCTTCTCTCCGTAGGGCTTTTGCAAGACGCATGTTAGAAAAAAATATCGGGGTTGTTGTGGTTGGGTTTCCAGCTACTCCTATCACAGAGTCCAGGGCTCGGTTTTGTGTGTCAGCTGCACATACACGGGAGATGTTAGACACGGTAAGCACAGATGTCCTGCTGAAATTAACTTCAGATGCCAAGGGGGCTGGGAGGAGCTGTGTCTCTGTTACTTTGAATCTCCGTAATTCATATTTACATTCATTCTTCTAGTCTTGTCACTTGATCTTTAAAGGCAATATAGCCTTATATATTTTATTTTAAAATAGAGTTAACTTACTATGTTCTTCTATTTCTAGTAGTGGCCAAATCTGTCACAATTAATGAAGACATTCATGAAAAACACAGCAAGACAAAAAAGTTTACTGATAGGTCAGAACTATCAGAGTAGGAAACCTGAACTGATAGCAATAATTGCAGATCAGTTTTTCTATGCCCCTGTGTTCATTCTGTATTTCCACGTTTCTCGAATTGCAGTAATACATGGGACAGCGTTGGGGGTACAGGTGGAAACTGCAAACTGTATTTGGAATGGTTTAAACCTGATGAGGTTTAATTGGTTCTGTCTGGCCCCTTCAGCTCCGTAACTTTCTCTGACAACAGACTATTAAGAATACGCTGAGACTTCCATCTTAAGCTCCCCTTCCAACATGGTCAGAAATGTGTTAAAAAAAAACAAACAAAAAACAAAACTCTTCAACATTTTTCATCTCCCCTTCTTGCTGAAGGTCTTTTTGTCTTGGCTTGATATACAATCCTCATTCTCAGAATAAAACAACTTAGAGGTAGAAAGTGCTGAGGGTAGCAGTACATTTCAAAATTTCATTTTCTTCTCTTTGTACAAGTATGATGCTTAAAGGAAAAACAAACCACAAAACTAACCCTGTGAACATAGAAGGCATTTGAGTAGAAGATGCCACTTCTTCTTGCAGGCAAACACCTGTGCCTGCCTGCAAAGAGCCCCTGACTCCCGTTTGCATCCTGAGATTCATATGGGCTAGAGGTGGGAGCCCTGCCTGGTTAACCAGCTCCTGTGCCAATGTGGGCCTCACTCGAACAACGCTGAGAAATCTGTTTTGCATGTGTGCAGTGCAAAATCCCTGCTGCTCTTAAAGTTGCAGTAGTTATTAGTGAGGTATGATGTCATAAAATCGCATAGAGCCGGACAGTTATGTACATGCCTTTGTTGCTGTCACCTTTTACTCTTTGGCTGTACAGATTTTGGCTTACATAACTGGTAGAAAGAAAGGAGGTTGATCTGAAGATTAATCTCTTGAGGTTGCTGCTTTCCTTTGCTTCCTCACCACCCACCCCAAGTGTCAAGCCCATTACATCTGTAAGTCATCACTGCATGTTTGCTTCTCCTACTTGCACATCACTGCTTCCTGGTGCCAGTGACAGCCTGAAACATTTCCCAGCTATCATTCTTGAACATACTGTGGTTTTACCTTGGAAATTGAAGTCATTTCTGTACTGTTTGTGGCATTCTTTAAACATCCTTACATTATGGGGGAATGGAAATGCCCTGAGTTTAATTACACTCAGGCTGAAAGATTTTCTTAAGGTAAATACTTTGTGAACATTCCTAAATTCAGTGTAGTAACAGGTAACAAGCACAATGATAACCTCCACCTCCCTTTGGCAAAACAGACTTTGAATCTTGGTCTGGAACTATGTAAAGGAAAGATCCACTTAAAGGGCAACCTCCTTAATGATTATGAAGCTATCTTTTTGCATGAAATACTTCCCTCTATTCTTCAGCACATTTCAGTGGCCTAATAGAAACAGGCTCACAATCAAATTTGCTGTTTTCTTTGCCAAAAGTCTGGCAGTTCTTGAGTGTGGTTAAGATACTGCAAGACGTTCAGCTGCTTTTCTGTGATGTAGCACTTTCTGAATCTGCTGAGAGCTGGGGACACAGCTCAGCAAATTGCAATACAGTCCTAATGCATTACTAATTCTGCCTGTGATACTACTACAAGAAAACAGTGGAGCATTAGAAATACCTTTCAGGGTGTTCACAATGACTCTGATTAGCACTGTGTTCTGAGTCTTATCCAAGAAAATACATTTCAGTCTTCAGGATCTGTATGGAAACACTGAAGTATTGCCTTACATGTGTCTTTTTCACAAGCAGTCATAACTTTTTACCTGGATTATTGTTTGACCCCATGCTTCTAGAATGTCATCTTTTTAATCTGTGCTCACATTCTGACTGATACAACATGATCTACTGAAGGAGTCCATTCTCATGCATTCTCATGAATGCTGTTGTACATCAGTGGCTGAATATTCATTCTGAGAAACTTAAAAGCAACATTTGCCCTTTATACACTTTGTGTGATGGCCTTTTGGCCTTGTTCTTCTGCTATAAAGTTGAAGATAATCAAACTCCGTATCTTTTCCCAAGAGAATTGACACAGTGTGATGGTTCTTACAGGTTTTGAATGCTCTGGATGAATTGGGTGATTTTCTACAACTGAAATATTCACGATATTCCAAGTCATCTCATCCTGAACTGTATGAAGAAAATCGGTTTGAATTTGAAGATTAAGTTTTCCGCCCATGAAGAGAACATTATGATGCTATGAAAGGGGGGAAAACCCAAAAACCAAATATGAATGCATTTCTTCCCTTCTAAGGACAGTTTTTGTTTCTCAGTTAATTGAAAGGAGGGAAAGCTTGGTTTTTGCATTTTATTGTATCAAATTTCTGTATTTAAGAGACTGAAATATTGATACAGATTTGCCTCCCAGGAGATCTGTTCTTCTTATGGTATTTTTTATGCAGAATGAATGCATCCATTGATCATGTTGCTAGCGTACAGCTTTTGTTACAGCCCCTTTTTATGAAGAGGCTTCAGATAGTCCTAATTTTGACTGAAAGAATAAAGGTTAAAAACCAAATGGATCCAGTGTAGTATGGCAGTATAACTGAGCTTCATCAGTGAAATTGAATTCTGTCTGCTGAAGAGCATTAATCAAGACATCACTGTGGATTGCTACAGAGCAGAAAGTGACCTCTTAACTCATTTGCCCTATCGTGCCTTTTTCCAGGGACAAAAAAAAAGTTAGAAGACGGCTAATGCTGAGAACAAGAAAAGTTACCTCATCAGATATTTCTGACAACAGATTATGGGAAAGAGGAATGTCTCCTCCCCTCCACAGACCCTTTCTCTGCCACTTCAACATACTGTAAGCCTCATATTATACAAAAGTTGGGGCTTAGAAATAAAGAAATGTTTTTATTCTAATGCATTTGACCTACAGCCTTCCCCATCTTATCATAACAAGAGCTCTTCAGCAGGCTTGCTCCCTTTTCATGTAGCAGCAGTAAATAATTTTAATAACCATTTAACTTTCCCGTAAAAACCTTGATCAAAACAGTCAGATACTCGCAGTTCACAAACTGCAGATGACATTTATGGGCCCATTCCTAAGTTTCCTGAACTACTTATGGGCTTAATAAATTCACTAACAAGTACATAATGCCCAAGTTGTTAGTTATACAGAATTGTGACATTTGGGATACCATGAGCAGTTCTCCCACCTGCTAAATTGAGAGCTCTGCCATTCCTAACTGCACTAAGGTCGCCCACTTAATAACATTTCTTGAAATGTTCTTGTCTGGTATACGCACGTCAGGGGTGGTTTTGCTTGTCAAGCTGCAGGCTTTTTGAGTGGCTTATTTTTCAAATAATTGATTATGTCATCTGAGAGGAAGACGTCCTTGTTCTCCTTTCCACTACTCAAGTGACAAATGCTCAAAGATGCTTGGAGGAAATGTTACAGTCTGCAGCTTCCCTGCAATGCCTTCAGCAGCAGAACTGTCAGCCTCGTGTGGGCTGGGTAGTTGGAGGGATATTGTAGCTTTTTCCCTTTTCTGTGGTGTTGAAAAGTGGTTCTGCAGCTTTAAGAATGAACTCCAAACCATTCCACACTATCAAATGTCATTGTAAACACATCAGATGAGAGATGTTTAGGTTTCTGTTGCACAGATGTACCACACTTTCATGTTCTCTTGAAAGCTGTGGTGTAAACTTAACCCACAGCTGCAATATTAGATTTAAGAACAGTACAATTAAATTGCGGAGTACCAATTACACTATATTACTCTCTGCTTGTTAAAGCTGCTTTCAGGATATAACAAGGCTGATTGGTTATAAGGGGCCACTTTTTGTTGGGTTTTTGTTGTTGTTGTCATGCAAGTTAATAAAAATCCAGTGGTGCTATAACTTTAAGAACTGATTACAACACATTCCATGATACGAGATGTTGGCTTTAGGAAACATATATCAAGGGTTGGGGTGGGACTAAGTGGTGTCATATGATTCTTCGCTCTGGTAGATGGACTTGAAAAGCACTGCAGAGGTCCAAGGGAGTTGCGTTTGTGGATAAGAGCAAATTCGCTGTATAAATACTAAAATATCCTTGGACACGGGATGTGGAGAAATTAGGAAAGGTGGACTTTGTCTTTAGGTAACCTGGCGATTTGTGATTTACAGGCTACATGCAGGGTGAGTGCACTACTACAAAGGAGATGGGCTGAGAAATTTTCACAACCTGTTCCTTGAGGAAAAGTACTGAGCGTGATATATTGCATTTTGATCTCCGTTGCTGAACATCTGCGGCCAGATCCTCAGTTGACTTCTGACCTTCCATCTTGGGGTGTCTGGCCGTAGTTTATATTTCAGCAAGCATTATTATATGTGCTGTTGCAGGCAGCGTGCTATTTTCCTCAAAGAGAGGCCTGAGATTGATTAAGCTACAGAATGATCACTTTTTGTCCCCCTATAGGGGAATGTTTTCTGTCTAAGGCTGAATTCCTTCTGCCCTCAGAACATTACTCTCTCTCATATTAAGGAGACAGGACAGCTATTTTTCAGAGACTGTTGGTTGATTTATTATATGCTTTCTTCTGATTTCTTCCATCCCTTACACATTAGAGCAAGTACAGGCTGACTATCCCTGGGCTTGGGGAACATTCTGGGAGAAATCCCTGCCCCACTGGTGCAGTAATACAACCCCCAGGAACTCCAGACTCTTAGATTTTTCCCCATGAGGCTGAGTTATGGTCTGGCACTGGTTGTTCCATCAGTGTAATTTCAGTGGAGATTTTCCAGATTTACATCAATTTTAGTAGATTTAGAGCTGATCACCACTTGGAAGTCCCTATTTTAGCCAGCTTAAGAAAAAACTGGTGGAGTATTTATTAGGGAATTAGCACATCTAGCATAAGGATCACATTTCCTGCAATATATTCCATCTTCAAGTGGGAGATGTAGTTCTCTGTAATTGTTTTAAAGGGTTTTGAAGAACTGTTTTCAATAAATAAAAATTGCTCAAGTCATCATATTTTAACCCAGCGGAAATGTAAGTATGTGTACATCAACTTTTTGCTGGCAAACTACAGTTCCAGCATCTCGTTATCTTACCTAAAATCTTGATTGACCTTCATGCTAGGGGAAGACTCCAATTGTCTGTTTGACAAAGCAGCTGAATTGTTTGCTCTTTCCTGTACGTTTATCCCACCTCATCTTTCAAAAAGCCTACATTTCCTGAGCTTATCTTATTTGTCAAGGTGGTTCCCCCATCCACTTCTCCCTCTTTACATTGTTCTTTCTTTTCTGCAAGTTTCCGTCCTCCAGGTCTCGGGGAAAGCACACGGGCACCTGCATGGGACCTGAAGCGTGTTATCACTGGATTGTAGGCATTGCCTCTCTCTGCCTTGTTTTCCTGGTATCCTCATCAGCTCCTGCAGACCTTAATCATTCATTCTGACATAAAGGTTTCCTACTGCTGTTGCTAAGTTTCTCAGCTGCACCATATCTGACCTGCACAAGCTGCTGAACGAAGAGTGGGTTTGACCTATTACTCACGCAGGTGTAGATCAGGTTAAACCTTGCTTTGAAGTCAATACCGTTAGTTTAAACCTGTAGCAACTATAAGAGGGACCTGTCAGTGTGAGGTGAGCTGCCTGCATCTATTACTGAGGGATCTGAACACTGAGCACTGTTTCACAGCTGCTGCTCTTCACAGAGGACCGTGACATGGGATTCGATTTATTTAAGGTAGGATTTGAATTTTCTTTCCCTTTTTCTTCTTTTTTCCAAAATGTGTTTGCTTGAATGGGCATTGCATATTTCCCTGTCCTGCTGAGATAGGGAAAAACAACAAAGTAGGAAAAACAGCCTACACTAAAGGTGTTTCCTTGAATATATATTTTCTAGCCTCCTTAGAAATGCAATAGCAATCCTCTAATATATGTTAATCTGCTTTTTATCTGTGCTTTAAGTTTAATTGTTCTTCAAATTAAACACAGATCAGGACCAAATTTTAAAGAAGCCACACTACAGGCTGAGAAATGGCAGATGCCATCCCAATATTGGTAACTGAACATTTCAGCCTCTAGGTATTTTCTAAGGAGCTCAGATCCCAATGTTTCTCTCGTCTAATACTGGTTGTGCTTGCTGCAGGCCAGTCACAAACTAATGAGACTCTCACTCTCTCCATTCTTAAAATGGAGATTCAGACCCAGATCAGGACAGTCCCAAAGTGACCACGCAACTGACCACATAAAATAAGAATTCAGCAACATCAGAATGAGAGCACAGGGCCTGAATCAGACTGGATGCTCAGCAGTTACCAAAGAGCTGAGCATGTCTCTTTTGACGCACTGGCAGGACATAGCAAGGGAGCAGTGATAAATCCATCACATGTTTGTCAAATGGAAAGGTAACGGAAAGCTAAATGATCTGGAGAGACATGGTAGAACAGAGTCTTAGCCTAGATTTAAGTGTGGGCAAAAATTTTTTTTTCTGTTAGCAATGAAAGAGTTTTACATTTTTTTAAATCAGGTTTGAGGAAAACTTGATCTTTGATATTCAGATGGTGACTGTGAGCTAGGTAAAAAGAGATGCTATAGCCCATGTGTGACTCCAGGTTGTTTATGATGAGAAGGCAGAATAGATTCAGTCTATAGCAGATGTCCCTGACGCTTAGTATTCTCTTATGTTTTATAGATAGTCACACCTACCAGATGCTGCACAAAGACCAAGTAGTATTAATTACTATCAATAGACTCAAGTTCAACAGCTTGAGCTGCAGTGATAACCAGGTTTGCAGTGATGCTTGAGCCACCATCTGCAGTGAACAGTATTGGAGCTGAAAATTGTTCAGAGGCGATGCTAGTATAATCATATACAGAGTCTTTGATGACTATGATGCCCTCACTGGGCATCCTTGCTAAGGTGCCAATGCTGCAGGTAGATTTCTTTTTTTCAAGTACAGAAGGACATGCTCTGTAGATTATTCCAGCAGATAAGTTTCTTTCTGACAAGCTCAACCAGAAGGTGTTGCCAGGAAATCTGGACTTTTGAAGGTAAGTCAAGTACTTGCAGTAACAGAAAAAATGTTATGTGTCACCGTGGAACAAAAGTGCCAGACATGACAAGTGAAGTTTGCTTTTGTACCATCCCACTGAGCATTTCTCAAAGAACTTTTTGTGAAAATTCTCTGCCTCTATTACCCTGTGGGTAGGCCAGAACTGTATGTATCCTCCAGCTTCTGGAGCACCACACTAATCTCTCGTGCTACAGCAAAGCATTAAGCATCATTCATTATGTCTGCAGTCCTTACCTACCATAGCTCCATTTCTACTCCCAGCACAGCAGGCAGCAGGTCTGTTTTATCTGGTGAGAGCACAGCATGAAGTGGGCTGCTGAGCCTACTGGCTTCCAGCATGATGCTCTCTAGTCCCAGGCAGTGCAGTGAGTAAATGGCTCTTGGCACAGGCTGGCTTTTGCTGTGCCGCAGGTGGTAGCCTCTTGTCTGAAGTGGGTTCTTCCTCTGCTGACCTTTCCAGCAGCTGTTCTGGAATAGCACAGAAGTGATGAAATCAATTGGAATGTTACAAAAACGCAACTTCCACCGTGTGTTTCCTGGAGCTTGCTCAGGCACCACTTTGCCATGTGTCCTACTCTCCCCGTGTTACCACACAAACCTCGTGATGCCTTGGCTCACTGTGCAGTACTGAAACTGTTGTACATATTGCTGGGGATCTTTCTTTCATGTGGGAGTTGCTTATGAAAAATCTCTAATACTAAGGGTACAGCCAGAGCACTCAGAAGAGGCATGATATTTTTCATAATTCGTGAACCATGTATGCATACTTTAGACATTTCTCTATCTGCAGAACATGTGGATCTCAACTCTCTGTCTCCCGCTGTATATTCCAGTGCCCAAATGTTAAGAGTTCCTCTTCTCAGCCAGCCAGTAACGTATGGACCAGCTCTCTATGCTGGGTCTAAAAGAATCCATTTGGTTCTATCTCCACCCTGCTGAGTAACTGTAGATGAGATGCATTAATGGTCTTTGCCTCACTTTTTTTTCCTCTGTAAAACTGTGGTAGTGATCCTGATTTATTTGTAAAACACAAAGTTGAATTGATGAGAAGAGCTATCAAAAAGCTAAGTGTTGTCATTACCTGAGCAATTTTTTCATTTCTCCATTAATCCTGTAAAAGACACGAGTACTCTGCTTACCAGACCTAATCTACAAGATGGTACAATGGTGAGGACTCATTATAAATTATAGAAAAGAATTCTGGGAAAGAGATCCTTTTGTCTTGCTCCAATGATGCCAATTGGACTAGGAAGCTTTTTAAAATGGAAATTTATCTTTACATAGATTTGTAGCCAAGCCTTTCCAGTTTGTTAAAATGTAATTAGTGTCTGCTTGTTAATATGATGTTCATTGATTTTTAAAGTACACAGACTTCAAAGCTGAAAATAAATAAATAAAGAGAGAGATAATTCAAACCAGAGTGGAACAGCTCGGACAGTTTTACTCTTTTGCCAGGATCCCAAAGCTGTTGTGTTCAAACAATGCCACAGTTTGAGTGGAAATGTGAGATTAAATCCAAACCCTGCATGTCAGCTTTTTTGCAAATGACTATCCAGGATTTCACTAAAATGTTCAACCACAAGAGATCATGTTGCAGGGTTTTTTATTGCTTAACAGCTCGTGATAGTCTTCTGTTTCTCTATTATGCATAATAGGGCTAGGTACCTACAGCCTAGTAAATATCAGTGGAATGTTGGTACCTAACTCTGTTAGGCACTTTTGAAGAAATATTCCAAATGGTCAGAAGAGGAAGGAGTTTACAAAGATGATGGATGGTTACAGGAGCTCCCAGTGACATCTCAATGCAGTGTGGCACACAAGGGAATGTACTCCGTATGGAACAGAATTTTATCATGGTAATGGAGAAAACTGTGCAAGACTCAGGTGGAGGTAATTTCAAATTCATGCAGAAGTTCAAAGCTGTGGCTGAGGAATGACCTGAGGAGACTGCAAAACTTTAGAAAACACCATCTGAAGAAGAAGGCTTGGAGGACAGAAAAGTGAAAAGAACCATTCAGAGAAGAAGACTTTGCAAGTGCAAGAGAAAGAATGGAATTAGCCACTGCAGGAGAGATGAAGCAGAGCAGCGCATTTGTTTGGAGAAGGGTAACATTTCATTATCAAAGAAAGGAAGGGAAAATATTCCCCAAAGACAAAACAAGACAGTGGAAACAGGCAGGATTGAGACTCAACAGGACAGAATGAGGGAGAAAAGATTTTCAGACAAGCAAAAGAGAAGAGGAGATCATACCACACCACTGAGACTTGTGTGTCTGCGACTGTGGATGATTCTCTTAATTGTTGAGAATGAGGGAGGAACAATGTCAAGCTGAAACGCGGAGAGATGCCTTGTCTTCCATTCCAGCTAGGAATGTTAGATGTACACCAGTGGCAAAGAGAATAAGGAAAGGTGATGGTGGCAAGGACTGTATTTCATTCAGGACAAAATGGAAACAGGTAAAGGACAAATCCAATGGGAATAGGACAGTGCTTTAAGATAGAGATGGCCCAGTAGTTTTTCAACTGAATTCTTCCAGTTCCTGTGGAAAATTATAAGGGAAGGAAAAGTGATATAGGCTCTCAGAAATAGATCTGTGAAGGAAATCTGAGGATATTTGGTAGCTGAGAGACCAACACCTGAAGCAGATACTTCTCTGAGGGTGGTATCCATTTGGCTGCTTGTGACACCAGCCTTCCAGTGAGTAAAGCTATCTTTCAGCTGTAAAACAGCAGGAAGTGGGTGCAAGAGTTCTGATTTAACCAACAGGAAAAGAAAAAAAACTTGATAGGAAATATAGTAAGGGATGACAGTCTTCAAAAGAGAAAAGCACACTGAAATAGAAGTATTAATCCTCCACCGGTCCCAGTATGAGAAGATAATTTTCTCTAAAAAGTTGAAAATTGCCATTCACTTTGTAATGGCAGATTTACTGTGGGATGACATCCATGGTGAGCACAGAAGGAGGTTAGCTGTGTGATAGCATCTCAGCCTTCATTCCTGTACTGTATACAATGTAAGTGCTCTGATCTCTTTGTGTTCTTTGAAAATTGAGGGGCCACCTAAGATTATAAACTGCTTCATTGTTATCCCAGACAGTCTTGACAGGAGACGTAGTCAATGAGAACACTGTCCCAAGAGCTTAAAAAATAATAATAATAAAGTAGAAATGATCAGAGACAAATCACTGAGTTCAGGATTATCTGGTTGCTTTAGAAATTATATTTTGCAATAGTTTCCCCATCTGAGTGATCACACCAGAACCAGGCTGCAGGCATGGCTTGATTTAAACTTTCACAAGTAAGTCTTTCTTGCTGTGGCTCACTTAGAATTAACCAAGAGCACAGATAAATGCATCTCCATACACAATGGTAGCAGCACAGTTTAGATGACAGTAGCTTTCAAAACAGGGTGATATTGATCACTGTGAGGGAGCAGCAACTGCTTTCTTTGCTGTTTCTGAAGACAGCAGGGATAGTTGCCTATGAATTTGTCCGTAGTTGCAGCACATCTACATAAGTTTAAGTCACCAGCAGCCAAAATTAAATCAATGAAGATCTTAGAAGTTTTGAATGTGGAGTCAGTTCAAGTCCCCTCTAAGTCAAAATTGATTTTGAGGATTTGCATCTCAGCAGCATACCAGCAAGGAAGTCCTGAGGAATAGTAGTTGGTAGGGAGAATGCTCTTAGAATCACAGAATGACAGAATATCCCGAGTTGGAAGGGACCCATAAGGGTCATCAAGTCCAACTCTTGGCTCCACTTGACCCAGCTGATTAAGTAAGCCTCTCACCAAGAGTATAATAAGTTCAGATGCTATAGGTACAGAACAAATGGCAGAGCAGCAGAGAGAAGCAATCCTGCAGTAAATAACCAGAGGGACAAAGTGAAAATTGCCAAATACCAACCTAAGAGAAATGGTGCAAATGTAATGAAAGCAGATTGTAACAGGTCTGTTAGCCATAAAAAGAGAAGCAAAGAATCGAGTTGTGATATAGGAGCCTGGAGAATTTTCTGCACGTGGCAGCAGCTAAAAAAGTTTATGATATGGTTATGAATGTGCCCCGAGGATCCCAGTGTGGTGGCAGAGGTCATGGGCAGCCTTTGCTGGCCTGCCTTTGAAATAGGACCTGCAGGACTGAGAAGTACAGTGCAAATGAGTAAAGAAAAAGCAAAAGGCAATATTGGAAAGACCTGAAGTAATTAAGGAAAGAGGAGATGGCGCTCAGAAGACCCTGAAAAACACTGATATAAGGAACCAGAGACTTGTGAGGGTGATCAAGAGTTAGCTTAGGCAAAGCACAATGAAAACTTGCCAGTGGAAGAGGAGTTGTAAGGTGGGTCAGAATCAGTCAGCAAAGGATTAGGTAACACACTCAGGGATAGAGTGATGCTGGGTGTAGGGGATTGAATTTGAGGACCGACGATGCTCTGTCCAGCTTAATCGTCTACGATTCCATGGAGACAGCAATGAAAGACCTGCATTGTCTGAGAACTAATTTTGTTAGCTATGGGCTTAGGGCACGTATTACAAATAGATCTCTTTTATGTGGGATTCTAGTTTGGAGTTTGTAGTGATTGATGGATTCATTAAAACGTCATCACTGATGCAGACAAGAATTTTCAGTTTAAAAATAAATGAATGACAACAGAAGCTGCAAAAAAAACCCAACCTTCTGCTTTTCTGGTTGATTCTCTGTGCAGCTTACTGTGGTTCAGGAGAGTGCTTAATGGGTGAGAGAGGCAGAGAAGACAGGGTCAGTAAAGATTGGGAAGAGTTGTCAGCATTTCATTTAGATCTTTGGCTACTTGTTCCTCTTAAATTCTGCCTCCCACTATCCTTCTCTTTGTTTGTCTGAATGTCATAAGAGCATCATTCTGGTGCTGAATAATATTTATTCTGTGATCTCCTTTTTGGTCTGGAAAAGGCATCTGGCCAGAGTCTCAGGTAGTTATTGTACAGACATGAGCAGAGTTGCAGTTGAAGATCCAGCCCACTGGATTACTGCTTGTACAGCTGTGCTGTCTTTTTAATGCTAAATTAATCAATATAGAAAGATTTTTCTCCACAGAATTTGGCTGTCATTCCTTTGACAGTATGTTATATCTTCAAGTAGATCCCATGGGCCAAATTAATTCTAGTGTTCTACTGATGTCAATGATGTTACCCTGAGTGTGAATTTGGCCCCATTGTTCTAAGGCTAATAGAGATTTTTTATAATGAAAGTGGATCATAAAATATTCTCAGATTTTCATCTGGTTTTGCTTACAGTAATTATCCTTTCCTGAAGTTGAGTAGTAAAGAAAATATTCATATTCTCCAGTGTCTGGTATAAATTGCCATGCTTGCTTGCTGCAGCCCAAGACACAAGTTACAGGCAGAAATGGATGTATTTGCCTATGTGTATATGGCCAGAGTTAGCCACTTTCTGCAAACGAGAACCATAGGAAGCAGGGCTTTGAAAGTGCTCTACTATCAGTGCTGTGTCAGTGAAACACTGATTTTTGGTGTCTTTATACTTCAGAAAGAAACTTTTCTGGCAACCAATGCACCAAGGTTACAGTTAATGCCATCTTATTAATGGAGACAAAAAATATTCTTCACAGATTTCCTTTAAAAAAAATAAATAATTAAAAGTATAAGGCCTGCAGAGTTAATACAAAAGAGGGAGCCAGCATATTTTGTTAAAAGCTCACATTCAGCTAGGCTGGAGAAGACAGGGATGTGGTTAAAGTAAAATTAGATGAAGAATAGAGTTATTCCGGGTGGGTCCCTCTCCTGACCTGAGTAACAGGCCTGTTAGTTCTGTGCTAGGAAAGCACAGTTGGGACTCCATTGCTGTCATTTTGAAAACAGAGGCAGGTTATCTCTGTCTGGCTACTCTTGGATTGCATTTTTTGTGCATTACAGCTAATGCTTTCAAATTTGTGTTGGGTAAAGTCTTTGCAAAAATGTCAAGAACTTGAGGGAACTGCTTGAACTATCATGCCAATGTTCAGCACAGTCTTTCTGCTACAAACAGAGGGACATCAATGAAAAATCCTAAGTAAATGTAGGATATGTCCTGAAACACCATGTAAGGAACAGAAGGAACTTTATAGGGCATAAATGAATTACTAACAAACTTTAAGACTCCTCCATCCCTCTCTAAACCAGACTCCTCTTATAATCATATAGTCATAGTATCATTTGAGTTGGAAGGGACCCTTAAAGGCTATCTAGTCCAACCCCCTGCAATGAACAGGGACACCTACAGTAGATCAGGTTGCTCAGAGCCCTGTCCAGCCTGACCTTGGATGTCTCCGAGAACAGGGCATCCACCAACTCTCTGCACAACTTGTTCCAGTGCTTCACCACCCTTACTGTAAAAAATTCTTCCTTATATCCGATCTAAATCTCCACTCTTTTACTTTGAAGCTCCTTCCCCTTGTCCTATCACAACAGGCTTTGCTAAAGAGTCTATCCCCTTCTTTCTCATAGTCCCCCTTTAAAGACTGAAAGGCCACTCTCAGGGCTCCCCAGAGCCTTCTCTTCTCCAGGCAGAGCCTGAATAATCTTGGTGACCAAACTTTTTTGGTCAATTTTATACTGCCACAAAATAGTCACTGAATGGAATTGCTCTGTGGTTTACAAAAAGGCATCAAATAGTTTAGGACTTCAAAGAAATACGCATGAATCTGGAAGACGTGGACCTGCTGCTACCTCTTTATCTTAGGAAATCCATCTCTGCAAGTGCATTTGCAGCTTTATAAGGGGAAACTAGCCGTCAGAATCCACAAGAACTGTAAGAAATTATGGTGTGAACTGAGTTCTTTTCAACTGAGCTCAATAGCCACTTACCCTAATGCACTTCAGCAGGGAGTCCTGCCCTCTAGATATTTAATGAACAATAAAGACCAGTTCTACCTCTGTGGCGTTGAAAGTGGGAGTTATTCTTGAAACAGAAATGCTGACATTGGATCAGCCCTAAAAGTAGTGGTGAAAGCTATTCTGTTTTTATGCAATTTTCTTTCCTTTCTGTTGTGAGTAGGGGTGGAAGAAAATGCACAGAGATTGACCCTGCGCCCATATAAATAGTGTATCTGTGAAAACCATCCTTCTTGACGAAAGGAAAATAATGTCCTAAGCAAATAGATATTTTGTGCTCTGAGAAGAAAAATAAGACAAGATGGATCTCTAGCTATGTCTCTGTTCAGAAGCATGAGGGAAAGCACTATGGGGAGTCTCTTAAAGACAGATCTTTAATCAAAGAGCTTTCTCTCTTGCAGGATTTCTCCTAATATATGGTCAGTGTTCAAGCGCCCTTTTTCCTGCAGAGTTAAGGATCTGATTTCAGATATCCTTATTGTTAAAAGACAGAACTTTCAATTTAATAGATTTGTCACCAGTGTTAATGGGAGAAATATCAACTGGACATAGTTACTTGTACTTCAGGGCAAACTTCATACTTTCCCTCTGGTACCCAGCAACAACTTTTCTTTGCCATCTGTTTACCTATCAGGCCTTCAGAGACTGCACTGTGTCTTCAGAGCAAATCTACTGTGCCACAGAAATGGCTCTTCATATGCACAGCCTGAAAATATGGGAGAGTGAAGGAGAAGTTGATTCATTCAGTGTGGTAGGGGAAGCAGCAAGCTCTCTGAGCTTTCAAAATTAGATCGAGCAAAAACATCTACTGTCAGATGGTCTCCCAGTGATGTCTGTGTGCAGTGATGGTCTCCTGAAGGATGAACAGGTTTTTTTTCTATTTGTAAAGAGGTGTGGTGATGTTCTGTTACCCTTAAAAAATAGTTGTAACTGGAGCAAAGCTTTTCTAATGAAACTCAAAACCAGGTGAAATTGCCTACTTCAGGCAGCCTCATAAAAACCTGCACTTCAGGCAAGTTCTGCTGATATTTGCAAGCTGGGGCCCACTCTAGTGCAAACACAGGAAATTTACTGTAACAGGTGGAAGCCAGGTAATGCCACATCACGGTGTTGCTGGAGTCAGCGCAACTCAGTAATTTGACACTGGAGATTTTAGATGGATATAAATTGCAGAAATTCAGTGTTGTTTTAAGGGAGCTGAATACATCAGAATCAAAACCAGGACCAATTGCTAACCCACAAGAACAAATACTATCCATTTCCACAGTGATCTGATTGAAACTAAGAGTTACAAAATTGTTTCCAAACCTTAAGGCCAAGTTTTTTCTACTCCTACTTATAGCAGGCCATATTTTATATCAGCATCTCTTGTTGAGCCCCTGATTTCATAAGGTACTGGGGAAATTCCAGAGACCTTGAAGTGAACAAATGTTTCATTATTTTAAAAGGACAAAGGAGGTGATCCGCTTTTCCCTGCCTGCCTAGACAGATATAGGCCACCTAACCTCACATCAGTTCTGAGACAATTGTAAGAAAATTGGATGTGTTAAACAATCAACATTTAGTTAAAGAGATGTTGACATAATGGACCAGTCATTATAATTTTGATCCTGTATAGTTTTCTGTTTGTGCAAAATTGTCCTAAAATGTCACTACCCACAATGTAGCAGATACTAAATGACTAAACTGATATACCAGGACAGAGATGTAGCAGAAGGGTATTTTTATCAAGGTTCTGCAATGATTTGTTCTTGTTCCTGGGCTATTCATCAACGTTATCAAGGATTTGAAAGAAAAAATAAATAATCTGCTGGAAAAGTTGCAGATATGCTCTGGTGGTAAATAAACAAAGCGGGTCAGGTCTGCAAGGCAAACTGCATCACTTGGTAAATTAGCCCCCTTTGAACGTGTATTTTAAAACAGCAAAATACAAGGTCATGTGTTGGTGAACAAAGACTACAAATGATAGGTTGCATCCTGGAAACAGTGACTGTGAAAACCTTGGCCCAGACACAGGCTCTGGGCTTTGTAAGTACATACAGACATACATACGTAAATCCAATCCCAGCCATCCTAAAATTTCTTTCTGTTAGATTTGTATAATCGGTCATTCTTGTTAGCCAGACTGTTTACTTCTCAGCCACTGTAGGGACTTTACTGAAAAATTTGCCTGCTTTAGAGAGTTTTCCCATTTTCCCAATAGTTGGGAATAAAGCTAAAATTATCCTTTCTGAACTTGGAACTTAGGGCTTTTCCATCTGGGATGCTTTATCTGAAGTGAAGCCCCTGTGATTGTGAACATTGCCGGTTATCATGCCGACTGCCTGACAAGGAGTCCAGTTTCACGGCAGTTCTGCCAGTTGTAAGAAAAGGCTGCGTGGCAACCAAAAAGTTCAAAATATCACTGAAGACTTTTTGGCTAAATGGTGATCTTGGAGTACTGCGTCCAAGTGTGGAGCCCCCAGTACAAGAAAGACAGGGAGCTGTTGGAGAGGGT